AGTATAGATAGATTATATAGGATAGGATTGCTTAAATGGGGTGAGGGAGCCTTTTTCATCAGGAGATGGTCTTGGCAGACAAAAATACATAATCCCTATATCTGGACTGATAGCCAGCCATATGCGCTATACTGCTAAACCAACATTAAAAAATTGAACTGCTTTCTTACCAAACAGTTGTTGCCTTTAAAACCCCTCCTCAGCCCCCACCTTAGATTCTGCCTTCACAGTTCACCCAGATTTGGTTCTGATTGGTTGGTTTCTCTGCCAGTCAGCATAAAGCTCCACCTCCTAGGCCGCCATTGGCTCTTCATCGTTCACCCAGATTTGGTTCTGATTCATCCGTTTCTATACCAATCAGTGTCTCTGTGCCTATCTATGGGCCTGATCAGATAGACAAGGCTGATCAGCAGGCCCTGCGGAAGCCCAGAGAGAAAGAGGTGTGGCTACTAGCCAGGCCTGAAGAGAAAGAGAGAGGCAAGGGCTGATCAACATTTGCCACAGAGGCTACAAATCAGAGCCTGACCTCTCTCCAGACCTCTCTCCAGGCCTGATCTGCAGCCCCCTTGGCAGTTAGTGCTAGGTCACTGTGCCCGCAGCAGCAGCAGTCAGTGCTGGGTTGCAACCCAGCTCAGACTGCAGGACTGACTTTCGGTCAGTTGAGCCTGCAGTCAATTTGGATGTTACAGACCCTGGGTTTTTATATATTAGAATTATTAGTACCCATCTGGTATACATAGTTGTTATACTATTATTAGTACCCATTACTATTATCTTGTACCCATCTGACACCACACCATAGTTAATCCCTATGCTGTATTTTACATTCGCAGGATTTTTTTTTTTTTAAGACCTTCATTAACAATTGCCTGTAGTTTGCTGATTTTTTTTTTGGGGGGGGGGGGGGGATCTAGTTGTAAATTTTTATTACAAGTAAAAAATGAGGTTCTTAAAAATCTCAACTTGACCAGATATGAAACAATTTAAAAACCTTTAAAGGCATATTGAGAAAAACTAGGCTTCCTTAAAAAGCATGTTTGTCATTACCAAAAAGAGATGTCTTTAGATAAAACAACAAAACAAAACAAAACAAAACAAAACAAAATCTACACTGTGTAGATAATGCAGCTATTTCTAGTTATCTGGTCAATGGGCAAAACAACAGCACTGAAGTTATTTAGCTCCAATCTTTTGTTCATTTCTTACTGTTGAAATTTTATATTCATTTCTTTTTGTTGGATGATTAACCTTGGGTTTCATCTCCTTCACTTTCCTTATTTTCTTCATTGTCATTTTCTGTAGGCTGTCTTTGGCGAGGACAGCCCCTGTGGAATCATGGTCTACAGCCTCGATATTCTGTCTCACTGGTCTACCTTGTTCTCCTGCATTCTGGTTGTCAGCACCCTCCATCACTTCTCCCTGCACAGAAATATTGGAATACTGTGGTCGAGGCTCATAGGGTCTTCACATGTAATAAGTTGGGAACCTTCACCTGCTATAGGGCTGGCACCGATGGGCCTAGTCTTTGGGAGCACTCACTGATACCTCATTTTATTCCTCATTCTCACTCTGGTAATTGCATGGAGGACCCCTGCGATGTGGACAGCATCTATAATGGTTACATTCTGCTGCACATTTACTGCCTTGCACTGGAACTCCACCATGGCTTGTAATATTTGCTGCCTCCACACCCTTTTCTTCTTCAACACTATCAGACTCCACAGTCTTTCCATCTTTTATACCATGAAGGTACTTCCTGGGATTATTCTTCTTTATGGCCAGTCTGTGTACAAATACATCTGCTTTGGTGTCATTCCTATTGATGAAACCATATCAATTTCTTACATTGAACCATTTTACTGTTCCCCAATTCCTGTAGCATGGGCAGTGGGCAGGGTTGGCCTCATAATGATGTCACCGGCCAGCAGGGACAAAAAGTCATCACAATGGAGATTCCTCAAAAAATTAAAAGTAGAACTACCGTATGACTCCCCAATTCCACTTCTGGGTATTTACCTGAAGAAATCCAAAACACTAATTTGAAATTATATATGCACCCCTATGTTGATTGCAGCATTATTTACAACAGTCAAGATATGGAAGCTACCTAAAAATGCAATCCATAAATGAATGGATAAAGAAGAGATAAGGAAGATAGTTAGGAGCTCCAACTGTGACACCTAGCTCTCAGGGTGTGATGGTAATTAGGCTGTGATGACTTTCTGTCTTCAGGTAAATTCCCAGAAGTGGAATTGGGGCGTCATACGGTGATTCTACTTTTAATTTTTTGAGGAATCTCCATTGTGATGACTTTTTGTCCCTGCTGGCCGGTGACATCATTATGAGGCCAACCCTGCCCACTGCCCATGCTACAGGAATTGGTGTTGGCAGCACTGATGGTGGGGGCAGCATGGGGGGGTGGCAAGTGGCTGTTGGATTTAAGCCTCACTATTGCTGATTGCAGTGATGGTGACTGGGGCTGAGTGTCACAGTTGGAGCTCCTCTCTGGGTGTGATGGTAATTAGGCTGGAGGCGGTAGCGGGGCTATTTGGGGATCTCTAGGGTCTGTTCTCTCCTGTGGCTGCTTTTTGTTTGTTTGTTTGTTTGTTTTTTAAAGAGGCAATTTGTTCATAATACTTTCAAGTTTTTGACCCAAACCTTCTCCCATCTGGTGATCACCAACCTGTTCTCTGTATCTATGGGTTTGTTTCTGTTCTGTTTGTTTATTTATTTATTTATTTATTTATTTATTTATTTATTTATTTAAGATTCCAATTATAAGTAAAATCATATGGTAATTGTCTTTCTCTGTCTGACTTATCTCATACAGCATAATACTTCTAGGTCCATCCATGATGTTGCTATTGGCAAGATTTCATTCTTTTTATAGCCAAGTAATATTTCACCTCTTTATCCATTCATTTATGGATTGCATTTAGGTAGCTTCCATATCTTAACTGTTGTAAATAATGCTGCAATCAACATAGGGGTGCATATATAATTTCAAATTAGTATTATATTATATACACATAACTAATTTTAGACAAAAGAGTCAAAAACATACAATGGAGACAAGAAAGCCCCTTCAATAAGTGGCGCTGGGAAAATTGAAAAGGCACATGCAAAAAAGAAAGAGAGAGAGAGAAAGAGAGAGAGAGAGAAAGAGAGAGAGAGAGAGAGAGAGAGAGAGAGAGAGAGAGAGAGAACCCACTTGCAAAAGAATGAAACTAGACTATTTGTCACCACACACACAAATTAACTCACAATGTATCAAAAACCTAAACATAATACCTGAAACAATAAAATATTTAAGTACTAAACTTATGGACCTTGGTTTTACAGAGGATTATGTTATTTGGACCCCCTTTACCCTTTAATACCTAATACCTCTCCCCACTCTCCTTACCTCTGATAACCACTATACTGTTGTCTGTGCCTATGAGGTATCTATATCTATATCTATATCTATATCTATATCTATATCTATATCTATATCTATCTATCTATATAGATAGATAGATATAGATATAGATATAGATATAGATATAGATATAGATATAGATATAGTCTTGTTTGTTCATTTGTTGCTTTCAGTTTTATATCCCATGCATGAATGAAATCATATGGTTCTTATTTCTGACTTATTTCACATAGCATGACAATGGCTAGAACAAGGCCACAATTGTACATACAGGCCATGTTGTGGCAAATGGAAGTATTTCATCTTTTCTTATGGCTGAACAATATTATATTGTATATATGTACAATATTCTTTAAATCCAATCATCTACCAAAGGATACTTGGGTTGTTTCCATGTCTTTACCACCATGAATAATGCTGTAATTAGCATAGGAGTGCATATACCTTTATGAATAAATTATAGGCTCAGTGCATGAATTTATGCACAAGTGGATTCCCTCAGCCTGGCCAGCGATCAGTGCCTATGGATGGCGGGGGGGAGGGTAGGCTAGCCTAACAGGAGGTTGGCCTCAATAGCAAGCTAATGAATGGCCAATTCCATGAGGAATTGGGTTCCCTTCTCCCTCTTGTCTGAGTTGGGGGTGCAGGTGAACCAGATTTGAGGTTGTCAGGGCCCCAGCAGCAATCTCTGGGTCAGTTCGCATCATAGCTACCAGCCAGTCGGTCATCTAGTTGTTTTGGTCCTAATGGTCACTTAGGCTTTTAGATAGATAGATAGATAGATAGATAGATAGATAGATAGATAGATAGATGTTTTCAGTTTTGGGTAGATACCTAGAAAAGGGGTGGCTGAGTTACATGGTATGAAATCTGTTTTTTAAGAAAAGTACTTGACACTTCACTATTTAGCAGGCGAGAAGGAGAGATTTTTTCGTTTGTTTGTTTGTTTGTTTTTCCCAATAGGTGAAGTACAAGTTTTCATTTTCTCTTATTTCCAGGCTAAGGCTTCTGTGATTTGTGTGGGGCCTGTTTCCTTGGCTAAGGAAAATGCCCCCACATTCCCTGGGATGGGATGTCCCCTCTATGACCATGTTGCCTCAGTCTCAGGGCAGCAACCTTGTGGGAAAATGTGGTAGGGGATGGGCTCTAGCCCAGTGCTACCTCTTGCAATTAGATGCTGCCAGAAGTTCTGTACTACTCAAGGTGTCCCAGGCGCTTTTACTAGACTCTGTTGGGATGTGTGGGGGTAGAATAGGCAGGGACAGGCCTTATTGTATGTTTGTGGCCTTATTCTATCCCAGTAATAGTGGCTACCAGACCTCAGCAGCCACAATTCTGAATCTCCATTCCTGTCACTGGGTTTAGCCACTATTTGCTCATGCCTCTCAGCAAGAAATGTTTCTACTACCTGTGAGGTAGGTATACTCCAACTTTTATAAATGAGGATAATTAAGGCTTTGAGGTTACAAAACTGTATTCAAATCCAGATCAGTGAGACTCCAAAGCTATGCTATATTTACTATACTATTCTTTCTCTCCATATTAACATTAAAGTAGATTGATAATATCCATCACTTACTTCATAGTATATAGCATGTAGAGGATATCAGCTTGTCCCTGAAAGCTGGAGGTCTCCTTTAACTGTAAAACCAGTGCTTTGAAGTCCACCTCCCCAGACTGGTCTCTCGGAAGATGTATTTCTACATGAACTGAGGGAACCTTTAGTTCAAGAAACGGTAAAAAAAATTAAGTCCACAAGTGCTCAACTTAAATATTGCCCTAGAGCGTTGATCTTTTCATCTGTAAACTTTTCCCATAAGAATTTGTTAAATTTTGATGAAAAGTAAACAAACAAACAAAAAACAATGAAATCTTCAACACATATGATAAAGCAATCTAGTTTTCATAAAGCCCAGCTAGAAAAACTTACCTATTTTAAAAGTGAATTGAAAAGGTCATGTATCTTCACCAGGGTAGCATTTTGCTTACAACCAGTTAGTAGCAGAAACCATAATGGCTAGTTATGTTATTTTCCATTAGGATAGCATTTTTCAAAAAGCTGATAGAAAAATCTAATGTACAAGTTTACCTGGTCCTCTTGTGGGGGAGGAGGTGAGTCAAGTAAGTTGAATGAAGGCCGGGAAGCCTCAACTATCTTTGCAGGAAGATACATGTGAACATCTGCAAAAGGTTGACATTTATGATAAAGGTTAGATAATTCAGAGACTAACAAAAATGCACAGTTGATCTCAACAATGAAGTTACATATGTTTGGTTCTTTATAGAAGTTTATCTTTCTGGGTAACATCAAAGAAAAGAAATATAAAAATCAATTAATGTAAAGAATGTTCAACCAATCAAAAACATTTTTGTAGGGAATGTCCAGAATTGTAGAATCAGCTGATATTAAAGTCTTAAAATGTAACTAATACCATAATGGTACTATCACTGATGCTTAGGTAGAATACCATGTATCACAGAAAGAACCTACTTACGTTTTATATTTTCTGGACTTCCCTAGGAGAATATCTGGATACTCACAATAGATAAATGAATGATCCTATCTAGGGAATGAAAATATGTAGTGGCTGATCAACTTTGAGATATTAAGAGTTTTACTTACAATCCATTGTTGAAATACTTACCATATATTTCTACATGAGGAGAGACTCTAAGGAGAGGCTCTCTTGTCATTTTCACCATTTACAGGTACAGAAATAGAGATACAGAGCTCAAACAACTGTTCAAGCAAGTAGCAGAACTGGAAATTAAGCTCAAGTTTTGGAATTCATAATCTAAAGTCTAACTTAATAAAGTTTATTTATTCACATAAGCCCTTTGTCAAGGAAGCTTACTTGAAGGGAATTCTAAACTTTCCCCAATTCTAAATGTTAAATGATACTCCAAGGTTCATGTTTTAATATATTTGGTTAGTAATGATCAATAAAGTTTTAGACAGCAAGAGCATGCATCTCAATCATTCTCATCATCTGTAATTTATTTTATTTTATTTTTTTGCTTTTACAAACCCTTGTGTCAAGGACTGACTTTCAATAGATCGCAGAGAGGGAGCTGCCCTGCTACCTACGAAACTCCAACACAGAAGCAGGTCGTCTATTAATGATTTAGCGCCAGATTCCCCACAAAAATGTGTGTTGCGTGAAGGGCGTGGGGGCAGCCCCCTTTCTGGCCGCACCCCATTTCCCAGGACCCTGGTCGGAACGCGGTGGAGCGCACCATGCCGCTGTGGGGAGGTGATTAGGTGTGACAGCCCTCCAGCGGGGACAGCGGGGGACCGGCTACCAGAGGCCAACTGAGGATCATCTATAAATATTAACATTAAGTCCTTGAGGTGTGGCCAGTAATCTATCCCTTCAGTCCTTTCACATGAAGCTACTATAGAGGCACTGAGTACTCTTGGGGGCCATGACTACTATTCCTGGCAACGTGTCTAGAAGACATTTTCCACTACAAATACTACTGAAGGAGGGTTGTGGTCACGGAGAGGTGAATGGCAAAGTTGTTGAAGAATGAGTGCTATAGTTGATAAACAGCTCTACACTGCTGGACCAACTGACTACAAAAGTGACAGCTGGCCTAAGGGAACCAGATGTAGTTCACTTAAGGGAGCATATCTCCTCCATTGCAAGGCACTCTTGTAATAGCTTGCAATGCTTTATCTTTAAATAAAATCATTACCAACGGAAAAAAATACTTTCCACCAATTTGGTATTTTTATCTTACAATTAAATATGTTCCAACTCTCTTATTTTGTCTCTTCTCACTATGTAACTGGTTAAGACAGACTACATAGCAATATATATAGCAAAATTATATCCAATTCATTAATTTTACAAATATTTGAGTGTCTAATATGTTCTCGGTACTGTCAAAGATGCTTGGGATGAAGCAGTGAACAAAATCAAAGTTCCTGCTCAGCCAGCATGGCTCAGTGGTTGAGCATCGACCTATGAACTAAGAGGTCACAGTTCGATTCCGAGTCAGGGTACATGCCTGGGTTGCAAGCTCCATCCCCAGTAGGGGGTGTGAAGGAGTCAGCCAATCAATGATTCTCTCTCATCATTGTTATTTCTATCTCTCTCCCTCTTCTTTCCTCTCTCTGAAATCAATAAAAACCATATTAAAAACAAACACAGTTTCTGCTTACACTGTAATAAATGCTCCCTTCCATATACTGGGCTTCACATCATTCACCTGAATCCAGTGAGTCCTGGCATTACTCACTCTGTACAAGCAGCTCCGTGGCCTTGGTCACCAAGGACATTATATCACAAGTTGTTTGTACAGCAGCTTGACACTGATCTAGCCCTTCCTTCTGTGAGGTAGGGGCTAGTTTAGGATGGGGAGCAGTGTGCGCCAAAAGGTGATCTAAATAACGAGCAATATCATCACCACAGTGAACCGCAAGGTAGTAGGGGCAGGGTGAAAAGAAAAAAGTGAACCTTTTAAATTAAATATTCCAGTATTGATCCAAACACTGTGCTTTTCCAAGTATAAATGTTGTGAATGTTCATATAAAGTCTGAGATGTTAAGCATCCACAGGGGATATGCATTTTTTAAATTTCCATTATCCATAGCCAGAGATAATGTATTTGGATAATTTTAGTTACATCACAATCTAACCCACCAAACAAAATGACTGAATCCTGTGACCACAACATAGCACCAGAAGTAGGTTGTTTTAGCTCATGGGGTAAAAAGTGTGTGATCATTATATAAACTCATAGCATTACCATTTAAAAACTATGGTCATTTACCAGGACCTGTTCTTCAACTTTTCTGAGACAATATTAGGGCCTCTGGAAGCAGTATGAGGTTAATATAGGAGAGATGGTGCAAGCATTTAATATGCAAGTATATGATAATAATTGTGGTGCTGATGGTGATGGTGGAGAAGGAGCAGAATAAGGTCCTTTGATTCTCACTGGTATGATGCGGCTTTTGTGGGGAAGGGCACAAATCTTCTAGTAAACATTGAGTCTAGCTAAAAACAGACAGATTTCACAAATGGCAAGCTACAATTGTTAACAACAACAATGAAATCTCTATGTGGCACTGGTGTTGAAAGGACTACAAACCACACATTTGTCTTTTTAGTCACCTCATTCATTTATTCACCAAATATTTATTGCCTACCAAGTACCACAAAGTATACTAGATGCTGAGTTCTCAGTGGTGAAGAACACATATGGTCCCTATGATCTTGGCCTCCCCCTCTTTCACATACATTATTTCTGGCTATGGGTAATGGAAATTAAAAAAAATACATACCCCCTGTGGATGCTTAACATCTCAAACTTTACACGATCATTCACAACATTTATAATTGGAAAATCACAGTGTTTGGATCAATACTGAAAACTTCTAGGTCATTTGTGCATCAACTGTTTTTGTTTTTGTTTTTAATAATCTTTGGTGATCTCTTAAGATGTCTTTCTGTACTCTGATATGACTAATGGGGACTAGGAAAGCTGTAAGAATGGGAACTCATACTCAGGGATATCTTAATGGCAAATATTATAATCTTGTATACAATCTAGATTCTTTGGAGGAGGATTATAAAAATATGGGCTTGGAACAAATATTACTAATATAATATTGTATACCAACTATACTTTAAAAAAAGAATCTGGAGAGAAGTATTCTTATCATATAAGGGCTGGCAAGCAATAGACACATCCATTGTGAAACTATGAATGAGTAAATTCAGAGAGGAAAAAGTGACTCAGGCTGCATAATATCAAATTCAGTAACACATATTATTAAAAACATGTATTTTAGAAATTAATCTAAGAGAACATTTGTTACAGATGAAAATCCCAATTACCCACGGAATAACAAATGACCTCAATAAATAATCACTAGAGGCCTGGTGCACAAAATTTGTGCATGGGGTTGTGTGTCCTTCAGTCCAGCCTGCACCCTCTCCAATGTAAGACCCCTTCAAGGGATATATGACTGCCCTCACTGGGATCGAGCCTAAATGGGCAGGTGACATCCCTCTCACAATTCAGGACTGCTTGCTCCCAAATGCTCACCTGCCTGCCTGCCTGATTGCCCCTAATTGCCCTCCCCTGCTAGCCTGGTCATCCTTAACTTCCCTCCCTTGCCAGCCTGGTTGCCCCTAACTGCCCTCCCCTGCAGGTCTGATCCTCCCCAACTGCCCTACCCTGAAGGCCTGGTCACACACAACTACCCTCCCCTTCTGGCCTGTTTGCCCCCAACTGCCCTCCCCTGAACGTGTGGTGCCCCCTAACTGCCCTCCCCAGCAGGCCTTGTCCCCCCCAACTTCCCTCCCCTGTTGGCCTGATCACCCACAACTGCCCTCCCCTGCCAGCCATCTTGTGTCCACTTGGGGGTGGCCATCTTTGACCACGTGGGGGCAGCCATCTTGTGAGTTGGAGTGATGGTCATTTGCATATTATCTCTTTATTAGATAGGATTCTTGTCTGATATTTAAAAAGTTCAGCTTATACAAGCTAGATATCATGACTTTTGTTACTATTGGTAACAGGAAATAACCTTATATTTAATGCACTTTCCCAACAAAGAAACTCATACTACTTTAGATCTTATAAAAACAAGTACAGAACGAATTAAATGGTATTTAGGTGAGTAAATGCTGATCCCAAAGAAGAAAATATTCCTTCTGATTGCTAATGTGATGGTCGATTATACATGAGATTATGTTTTGCTACCACATTAAGGAAAGCTAATTTATTTATTCTTTATTTTCTCTTTATTTATTAAGAAGTAAATTAGCTGTTTTAATAAATAGGCTAACATTTAAGTACTCAGACAAATCATGTTTAGTTAGAAGAATAATTTTCTCCTACTGCCCTTTTTCCTTTGGGATTCAAGTACGGTAATGCTTGCCTTGTCTAGGTCAGTATTTTAACATGTTTGGGTTCTTTTTAAACATTTAGACATATTTAATATATGCCCCCATGATGTCTTCTGTCATCTTAGTATTCCTAACAACCAATTAGATGCTGTTATGCTTTATTTGTCTAGTTTGTAATATAAAAAAGCAACATGCATAATACCAAATAGGGTTTTGTTTTTTTTCAAATTATGCAGTCCTCTGAGGAGATTCTAAAGTACCCATATACTATTTTATATTTTAAAAAAAAGCACTCTAAGCAATAGTGTACATGTATAGTTTTATTAAATATCTCTCACTCATCACTGTTTCCTGTCATTTTGAAATCACTAGCCATTTTATATGCCCAGCAGAGAACTCTTCCCTAATCTTAGTAAAGGATAGTCCAATTTCATAGTCCACAATCGTAACAGAGATATTAGTCCAAGAACCAAAGAAAAGTAGGAGGATGAAAAGTAAAGCCAAACAAAAAGTGAATGTATTAAATAGGAGTAAGACTGCTGGCAGTGAGATATATTAAGGGGATACACAACAATACTTTATATTCTTGTCCAGTAAAGCCAGTGCCTTTATGAAGTTTCCTTACCATTACTGGTTGACTCATAGCTATTCATCCAGTCACAGGATTCTAGCTCACTATAATCATTGTAATCTTCACTGTACAGCTTACTTTTAGGTCCAGGGTCCATGAAACTCAAATGTGTGCAGCAAGATGTTGTCAAAAATTCTGATAATTTACCTGTTTGAACCCTGACAATTAGAAGGTAAATAGGAAACAGAAAATCAGACAAAAATGCTTTTTAAAATAATACAATTTAGTAAAAAAGTTATGTTGGGCTATTACTAATGTTTATACATTAGTATAAATTATATAAAATTAAAATTGCACTGCACTCCTAGGTACAGTGCATTGTAGGTTATGGTACTGTGTTAACAAAAACTAAAATTATGAGTTCACAATCCACCAGATCAGTTTGGCTTTCTTTCACTGCTATGCTGCTCTGTTGATAACTATGCCAAACATCTGGCCAAAATTTCCATTGGCTACCAGAGAAGCTAGGAAAGAATGAAGAAAAATTATCACTAATCCATCACACATCATTAAAAAAGTACTCATAAAGACTATTTTGAAAATAAAAAGATGGTATTTGAAATTTTTATAAATTATAATAGACTACATCATACCCTCCCCCCTAATTATAAAGCCAATTGCAAAACCCAAAGGGAAAGTCAATAGTACTGATTTTCTAAAGAAGCCAGTTTGAAGAGGCTCCCAATGGCCAGATCTTGTATAATTTGAACATTGAAATAAATAATTATAGGAGTGAAGCATGATATAATAAACAAAATAAAAATGCATAAACCTATGCTGACATTAAAACTACAAAACAAAAGGGGTAGGGGAAAGTTATTTTTTAAGGGAAAGGTTCCAAATAGTATATGTACACAGAATGATAGAAACAGAATCATCATTTTATCACTCCACTAACAATAAATGATTATCAATGGAATTTAAGACCATTTGGTGAAAGACTGCTGGACAAAGGATGTGGAAAAACCTGACAGATAGCACTTAAACCAAACTGAGGCATTCTACAAAATAACCGACCTTCTGTCTTCAAAACTGTAATGAAAGATTAATGAAAGATTGGGGAATTGTACATTAAAAGACATCACCCTGGTTGGGTAGCTCAGTTGGTTAGAGCATTGTCCCCATATGCCAGTGGTTCTCAACCTTTTTAAAGCCATGACCCTTTAATACAGTTCCTCATGTTGTGGTGACCCCCAACTATAAAATTATTTTTGTTGCTATTCATAACTGTAATTTTGCTACTGTTAATGAATTGTAATGTAAATATCTGTGTTTTCCGATGGTGTTAGGCTCTACAACAGCTGTTCTCAACCTGTGGGTCACATATGCCAAGGTTTGGGTTTGATCCCCAGTCAGTGCATATACAAGAATCAGGCAATGAAACAACAACAACTCTCTCTTTCTCTCTCTCTCATAAAAAAGAAGACATCAAGGAGGTAAATAACTAAATGCCAATGTGTGATCTTTGATTGGATCCTGGAGTGGGGGAAAAAGCTATGGGAAGACATTCTTGGGACAAATTGAAAATTTTGAATATGAGCTCTATATTAGACAATTTATTGTATCAGCAATAAATTTACTGAGTGTGGTGATTATATTTCAGTTATGTATGAGAATACCCTTGTTCTTAGAAAACAGAAACTGAAGTATTTAGGGAAGAAGAGTTGTGATGTTTCTGGCTAACTCTCACATAGTTCAGCAAAAAAAGTCTGTGTATATGTATATGTGAGTGAGATAGAGAGGAGGGTGGAGAAAAGAGACAGAGAGAGAGAGAGAGAGAGAGAGAGAGAGAGAGAGAGAGAGAGAGAGAGAGGAAGAGAGGAAGAAAAGAAGGAGGGAGAAGTGGAAGGAAGGGCATGGGGGAGAGAGAAAATTTCAGTACTATTTCTATTAGCTTGAAATTTTTTAAAATAAAAACTTAGGGAAATAGAAAAGAAAAGCAGCCAGAATTCAATACTCCAATAACCATTTTTAAAAGAATAATGTTTGAATTGTTAAGATCTAGGCTAAGGTCAGAGTGAGGAAAAATTCCAATGCTTCTATATAACATTCAATTCCTTCATTCAAGCTGTCAAACACAAGCTTCTCTGACTAGGATGAGATTGTTATTGAAGATACATAGAAATACTATCATGGTAAGTGAAATAAATCAAGACAGAAAAATTTAAGAACCATATGATTTCACTTATATGTGGGATACAAAACTGAAAGCAAAAATGAACAAACAAAAAAATAAACAACACAAAAATATATAGACACAGTCAACAGTATGGTGGTTACCAAAGAGTGATGAGGGTGGACGCTTAGAAAAGGGTAAAGGTGGTCAAATATATGGTGACAGAAGATGATTTACTATGGGTGGTGGACATAAAATGCAATATACAGATATACAATTTTATACTTGAAACCTATATAATCTTATTAACCAACATCACCCCAATAAATTTAACATAAAAATGCAGCTATAAAAAAATGATACACAGAATGGCATAACAAGTTCATAATTACTGTACCCAGTTTCCAAGTTTCATTTCATTTCACTTACCTTGCCCCACCAAAATAGCCATCCTGCATTTTTCGTAGTGCTGCCAGGATACTTGAATTCAAGCTGGTTCCATCTTCATCTTGAAGAGATTAAAAAAAAAATCTTTGTGGTTTTAACTTTTAAATAAGGGGAAACTTTCACGTATTTCAAACCAATAATCTGAAGTGAAGACTGTACAAATTAGACACTCCTCACTGACCACCTTATATTTCAACAATGCATCTGGGAGCCAGCAATACTGTAGAATGGGCAATTGGTAAGCGACGATGACCACTAGACAAAGTTCCTCTGACAGTCCATATCTTATTTATCATAAATACTTAGCACAGAGCCTGATAGCAGAACACTTGACTATTGAATGCTTTCAATAATAGCCACAACCATTAGTTGAATATTATGTGCCAAGCATTGGGCTAAATATTTTATATACTGGTAATATTATGCTATCTAATGAGCTTTGGTATGTGTGTAGGCATAAAAATATTTAGAAGACTAACAGTTATCTGATACTACATTAAGGAGACCATATTATATATATTCTTTTGTGATCTACTTTTTCTAACATGGACTTTGTAAAAGCTAAAAAATTATTTCATAGCAGAAATTTAGATTGTTTTTATATTGTAAGTTTTTATATTGTAAGATTGTTTTTATATTGTGAGGAAGATCACTGTACCTACATCTATATGCACTAATTATACTATCTCCTTAGGGGAAATTCTTACAAGAAGAACTGTTAGGGCAAAGGAAACACAAAACATTTTATAGAGATTGTGAAATTGCTCACTAAAAAAGTCTAGTCAATTATATTTCCATTATTAGTACAGAAAGTGATTGTTTCCCCACACCTTAAACAATAATAGACAATTTCTTTAATCTGTATCTAGTATGTTAAAAAAAAGTCACTGTTTTAATTTTATTACAAATAAGGCTGATTATGTTTTCATGTATATACTGGTCAATTCCATTTCTTTTATGAATTGCCTGTTCACGTCCTTTCCTCATATTTCTATTAAGTAATTTATCTTTCTTTTAAATTTATTGAATAGGATTTCACTTATATGTGGAATACAAAATTGAAAGCAAACAATGAACAAACAAGAAAAACAAACAATATATGCACGCCTATGTTTATAGCAGCCCAATTTACAATAGCTAAGATTTGGAAACAGCTTGAGTGCCTATCAGCAAATGAGTGGATGAAAAAACTGTGGTACCTCTACACAATGGAATACTATGCTGCTGCTGCTGCAAAAAAATAGCTCTTGCCATTTGCAATAGCATGGATGGACCTGGAGAGCATTATGCTGAATAAAATAAGCCAGACAGAGAAAAATAAATATCACCCAATTTCACTCATGTGTGGAATATAATAAACAACATAAACTGATTAACTAAAATAGATACAGAGACACAGGAGCATGGAACAGACAATCAAACCTCAGAGGAAAGGCAGAGGAGGGTGGAGGTAGGGGTAAGAAATCAACCAAAAGACTTGTATGCATGCATATAAGCATAACCAAAGGACACAGACAGTAGGGGGTGGGGACATGTATGTGGGATAGGGGAGAGATCAATGGGGGGGGGGGAGAGACATGTAATACTTAGAGAATTAATTTTTTTTTCAAAAAGCAAAGTTATGAAGTGCTATGCATAATAAATGCTCACTTGTATGACATCATATTAATAAAGTACAAACATTTTCATGTCAGAAAAAAAAATAGCAACATACAAGCATGAGCAGATTGTTGAACCTCAGAGGGAATGCAGGGGAGGATGGGTGAGAAGAGATCAACCAATGAGCTTATATGCACATATGCATAACCCTGGACACAAACAATGAGGTGGTGTGGGGTTGAGGGATTGGGAGCAAGCTGGAAGAGGTTAATGGGGTATTGAAATAGGAGGACCTATGTAACTATAGAGACCAAATGCACAAAGATTCATGCAAGAATGGGCCTTCTTTCCCCTGGCTGCCAGCACTGCCTTGGCTCCAACCAGAGCTGCCTTTTTGCTCTGGCCTGGAGCTGTCTTTCTGCCTTCCCATGCTACCTAGAGGCCCGGAGCAGCTGGGGCAGTGTGGAACGCCTGTGTCATAGCCAAGGTGATGATACAAGCATCCTGCCTTGCCCTTGGCTGCTTGGCACAGCACCTGCATGTGCAAATTAACGCACTATCTTTGTTGGGTTAATTTGCATACTCATTCCTGATTGGCTAGTGGGTGTAGCAAAGGTACAGTCAATTTGCATCTCACTCTTTTATTAGTGTAGATACTTTCAATAATAAAGATTTAGGCCAGAACAGCCTGCACCAGCAGCCACTGGACGCGTTCCTGTCCCCTGGAGGCATTAGGTCAGTGCCTAAGCCCCCCGTGGAGCGCTGGGTGTCGTCCCATGAGTCCTGCGACCTTGGGCCTCACCTCGGAGTTGGAGGTGGTGCCCGAGCAGCCAATCAGGAGTATGCAAATTAACCAAACAAAGATGGTAGGTTACTTTGCATACACAGGTACCAAGTGGTGGGGGGCGGGACCATGGCGACAACACAGGTGTTCCACACCACCCTAGCTGCTCCAGGCCTCTGGGCAACGTGGAAAGGCAGAAAGGCAGCTCCAGGCCAGAGCAAAAAGGTGGCTCTGGCCAGAGTGAAGGCGGTGCCAGCAGCCAGGGGTAGGAAGCCCCATTCTTGTATGAATCTTCATGCATTGGGCCTCTAGTAATAATATAAGTGTAATATGCTAATTATACCAGGCAGCCAAATGACCTTCCAGACATCCTTCTGGACAACCTTCTGGATGAAGCAGGGACTGTGAGGGCTGAAGGCAGCTGCTGTGGCTGTGAGGACTGAGGGCAGCCACCATGGCCTCAACAGCCAAACACCTTGTATGAATTTTGTGCATCAGGGTCTCTTGTAATAAAAGTTATGTGAATGTAGTCTCTCTCTCACTCAATTATCTGATAACTGTGAAGATTATGAAGTAACTAAGGAGTGGATAGCATAGAAAGCGTGGGTACAATTTAAAACTTATGAATTATTTATTGCTTTGGCTGGGTGGCTAATTGGTTGGAGTGTAAACCTGTACACCAAAAGTTGAGGGTTCTATTCCCAGTCAGGGAATATACATAGATATTTTTTAGGTATAATTCCAGGTCAGGGTGTATACAGGAGACAACCAAGCAATGTTTTTCACATCGATGCTTCTCTCTCTCTCTCTCTCTCTCTCTCTCTCTCTCTCTCTCTCTCTCTCTCTCTCATCAATAAACATATTCTTTGGTGAGGATAAAAAAACTTACGAATTATTTATTTCTGAAAATGTTTTCTTTTAATTTATCTTTATTGCTGAAAGTATTAAAGATGTCACCATTCCCCTAACCCCCCATTTACCTTCCTTTCTCCCTATTCCCTTCCCCTCCCAAGGTATTCACCCCACTATTGTCTATTTTGGAGCCATAGTTGACTTCAGGTAACTGGACCCAATGAAAGCAAAACCAAAGAAAGATAGGTGGAGACCAATGAATTTGGATTACTATTACATGAAGATTTTAATTTGATGGATCTATATTCTCTTATTGATTTTAGCTTTAATAAGTATTCTTGTACATTTCCACTCCCATAAGAAATTTAGATTCAGCTTATACATATAAATATGTGTTCTTAATTAGATTTCAAACTGCACTGAATTGATAGATTAATGCGAATGTAGATCTTCTCAGTATTAACTATTTCCATCTAGCAACATGGTAGTTTTCCTCCTTAGTAATTAAAATAATCTTTTATGCTCTTCTTTAGTTTTATAATGTTCTCATCTAGTTTCATGCATGTTTTCTTAATAAGTTTATTCTTATATTATTTATTTGTCTAGAAATCTGGCAATTTTATCTAGATTTACAAATTCTAATTGGTATTTTTTTAAAATATATATTTTATTGATTTTTTACAGAGAGGGAGAGGGATAGAGAGCTAGAAACATTGATGAAAGAGAAACATCCATCAGCTGCCTCCTGCACACTCCCTACTGAGTATGTGCTCACAACCAAGGTACATGCCCTTGACCAGAATCAAATTTGGGACCCTTAAGTCTGCAGACCGACGCTCTATCCACTGGGCCAAATCAGTTAGGGCTAATTGATATTCTTTTATAATTTTTATAGTCTCCTCCATTTCTGTGGCTATAATACCATTCTCATTCCTAATGTTGTTTTCATTACATATTTTTTCCTTTTTACTGTGAAGTCTACTTTACCAGATATTAACAAAGCCACTTATTAATTTTAAAAATTAATTTTACATGGTATATCTTTTCTCATTATTTGTATTTCTGTTTACCTATACTACTTATACTACTATATATGAAATGACTTTCAAGGAGACAGTATATGTGTGGGTCGTTTTTTATCCTACTCTGCCCATCTAAGTTAATTGGTATATTTAAATTTTAATTTACAGTTAATTTATATATTTGAGTTAAGTCTGGCATTTTACTTATTGTTTTCTGTTTATTCCTCTATTATTCATTTCCCTATTTTCTTCTCCCAGCTTTTCAAAACACATAAACGAAATCCATTTTGATTTATCTATGTGTTTTTTATGATACATTTTTAAAAATAACTGTGTAATAGTCTATGGTGTGGACTTGTCTAATTAAAAAATTATTGAAGTATAGTTGGCACATATTATTATATTAATTTCAAGTGTGCAACATAGTAATTTGGCATTTATATACCTCACAATATCATTACCTTCTGTCACTGTGCAGCTCTTAGGATACTAGAGGCCAGATACACAAAATTCGTGCACAGAGGGGTGTGTGTCCCTCAGCCTGCACCCTCTCCAATCTGGGATCTCTTGAGGGATGTCTGACTGCTCATTTAGGCCCGCACTGGGATTGTGCCTAAATGGGCAGTTGGACATCCCTCTCACAATCCAGGACTGCTGGCTCCCAACCGGCCGCCTACCTGCCTGCCTGATTTCCCCCTAATTACCACTCCCCTTCCAGCCTGATCGACATCTAACTGCTCCCCTGCTGGCCCGATTGCCCCTAACTTCCCTCCCTTACTGGCCTGGTCACCCCTAATTGGGCTA